ATAATGTATTATCTATCACTACATCCGTCTGATGTTCTCATTGTGTATAACAACAGGTGTTGTATGAAAGTCAGAGGTAAGCCCAAATATAATCTCCTCCATTTTTTATATTAATATTGAGGACATTATAATCACACCACTCTACCAATTTTTGTACCCACTTTTGGTGCTTTTCTGAGCTCTCTGAGTTATTTTATATTTAATGCAGATATTCTGCAGGGAGCCTCAACCCCAAGTGCCTTATGTGTCCAAGGACGACATATCGATGTCAAACCACGATCTCCTTAACCAGTCATCTATATAATTGTGAACATGAATGCCCTGGAGTCTCAATTAAGCTAATTTTACATCCATGCAATTTTTAAAGGTGAAAGGGGATTGAGCTAAATGCCAAATGGAAGAACCCGATATTGGTATGATTCACCCCCACAAACGAACCTCTAGATCTTCTTGTGTTGAGGAAGGATGGATATGTGGAAGTATGCTTCCTCTAGTTCTGTCATGACAAACCAGTTCTTGGACTTTTTTTTAACTATGACTATTATTTGATTACAGTGATTGTTAGCACCTTGGACCTGAATCTTCTTAGAGACTGGTTTAGCTGCCGAAGCTGTTTTATCCTTCTTCGGAATTATGAAGTACCGGCTGTAAAACCCAGACTCCCTTTAGGGATGAGGAACACATTCTATGGCCTCCTTTGCCAACAGGGACTGCATTTCCTGTTCCATCAGGTTCCATTTTCTACAGGCCTCATTTGAGGTAGCGAACTCTGCAGGGCCTCAATGACTTCAGGCAGACACTGTGATTTGTGTTCACTGCAAGCTGATTGACGTTTTGACTCCTGAAACCACTTAATGACTGAATTAACAACGTTACCGAAGAGGCCAGAATCGAGCAGCATATTGGAACATATCGAGCAGCCCCGTCCCCTTTTTAAATAGCCAATAGCGTTTCGTTTATATCATAGCTTGGGCCAGAGCCTTTGAGCTCGGTAAAGCCACATTAGACAGCTAATGACAACCTCAGTCTAATAGATTAGCCCTTTAGATTCAATATGAAACTGTTACTAAAGCAAAACAGTGATTATAATGATGCTGAGGATGTGTAGTTTGAAATGTGTGAAGTTTATGTTGGTGCAGGGCACCGGTGTTATCTCTTCTATTTGTTAGTGCTGTTTGTCTAACAGTTTCTCCTCCTAATCTGATCCAAATCGTTATAAAATATAGCATTTTGTGTAGAATTCAAATGGGTCTGATACATTTTGTGGTCTGTGCGACTCGGGCATATGATCCGCTCCGTGATATCGTGTCTCTGGACCATAGCAGACTGTGTGCTTGACACAACACGAAAGCAGACTTCTTACGACCCAATGGAAAGCGTATTTACTCTGTCTGAATCGTTCCTTATTCCCCATATAGTGTACTACGTGCCATTCAGCATACAGAAAATACTAATTTTGTAAACAAGTTACCTATTTCAGCCACAGTTTCAGCATCAATTTATAGTGTAGGGGGCGGGACATTTCAGATGCTAGAGAGCATTTGATTGGACAGAAATTTTGATGAGAAGCTGAAGTGAAGTGAGACGCCATCAAAACTGTTGAGGCTGTGCTTGGCTTTGCCGGAATCACTCCTAGTTTTCTCTTATTCTCTTATTGCCGGAATCACTTCTAGTTTTCTCTTATTCTGTGCTTGCTTCTTCTCAGTTGCCAATCGATCTTTAGTTTTTCTACCGCACGAGTCACAACCCCCTAAAGCTCCTCGTAAGTGGGGGATAGAGGTGGCGAGTTCTCAAGATCCCCCACCTTGATGCTTAGGACACCTCCTTAGAGCTGGATAGCCCCAGCATCAGACTCTCTTGCTCCGAAGAGCAAGCTTCGGTATCCCGAGCAAGAGTGGGGTAACTGGCCGATGAGGGCCGAGAAAGGGCAAAGCTGTCTCGAGTTCCTCTGCCAACTCCATCTGTTATCCCTATGACATTGGTCGCCACGCTGACTCAGCAGATGTGGGTCTGCGAGCCTGGCCGGTTTCCTCATCAAACACCGCCTGTCGGGAGTGGAGCTTCTTGAGCGGCAGTGGCTCACAATGCACAAAGGGAACTACCTTGAGAGCTGCCTATGCATGCTCTACTACTCTCAGGCAGTCAAAACACAAATTCTGCATGTCTTTGCCTGTAATATATATTGGGCAAGGAACTTCTTAAACTGCCAATCGCTCACCATAATCTACACTTACTTTTCACAAACATAACACCAACAAGAGACAGCTTCACACTCAGAACGCTTGCTGAAGACTAGAAGCTAACAGTGTTTTGTGCCAGCATACCTTTGTAACTTCCATGTACACAATTATGTTATGTCACGACACAACACCAATTGAGATTGGATTAGTTCCACACATGCTTAAGACACTGTCAAGCTAAAGGCATTCTCCAAAGTGTTGTCATTGTCGTCATCTCATTCCCTTGAAGGTAGGGATGGGAAGATTCACCGATTCTCATCGGCGCATCGGCATAAAAGTTAACGATGCGATGCATTGATTTAAAAAAAAGTGTGTATTGGCTACAAGTTGGCATTTGTATCGCGATGCATTGTTTCTAACATATTTGCATCTGTAAAAAACTATTTATTTATATATAATTACTAGTGGATGTGCTATACTTTTATTCTTTAGAAAGTGATCAATAATCTGTGACCAATATTTTATATGTAGATTGATTTCTCCATTCTAAACTGTTTCTCAAGCGCGTTCTAGCTCTCATCACCGCTGCTGCAACACTACGGAGACCCGAGGCCTGTTTCATAAAAGATGCTAAGAACAGCAGGGATTAAAGTCCAAAACCTTACTTGAAATAACCTAACAAATAAATCGGGGCTAAAGCAGTTCCAAAAACATCAATTTAAGTTTACGCAATGTCACTAATTTGTCCACACTTATTCTTAAGCAGCCCTTAATGTCGATCATGGATCAAATCGATCCACCATGGCAAACAGCAAATAAATTTGTGCTGCTTAATGCATTTGAGACATTGTGTGTTCCTCAGTGCATAACTGACATGTCACAGGTATATTTTTCATCTGTAAATGTTAGAAAGTCATGCAAATATATCCATTTTGCTGCCAGGAGCTTACGCGAGTGAACGAGCGCTGCTGCGCGCATGCACGCTAAACAGAAATATTGTGCTAGTCGATTGTGTTCCATCTAAGTAAAATATACATTTGCTAAAATATTTGTTGTTGGACATTAAATGTGTCTTCTGTAGACGATATAGTCATTTTCTTTATTATTTATTTTAATTTTCAATTTAGTGATTTTAACTTTTAATTTAGCTATTTTAATGCTTTAAAGAACGATTTTAGATTATAATGTTCAAATGCTCTGCTATCTGTTCTGCTAATTATAAAAGGTAAAGCTGTAATACAACCAGAGAGAAAGGCTGCATGGCTAGAAACTTTAAAAAAAAAAAGACAAATAATAGTATTTGAGAGAGTCAGAGCTTGATCTAGGCCTATGTTAAATTTGCTTTATGGAACCAAATCATTTGACAATGAATCAGACTAACTGAAATAAGCCTGGCTTATTTGGTAAACTTGTTTTATGAAACAGGCCTCGAGGCATTAGAATTTGCTTTCAGGAGTGGGCGAGGCTTACGCGAGTGAACAAGCGCTGCTGCGCGCATGCACGCTAAACAGAAATATTGTGCTAGTCGATTGTGTTCCATCTAAGTAAAATATACATTTGCTAAAATATTTGTTGTTGGACATTAAATGTGTCTTCTGTAGAATTTTAAACCTACATATAAATGTATTTTTATGATAGTAGTAAATGTAAAGGGACTATTGTAATGGGTAAATCAAATATAAGCTAGTAGTACTACCGTATTGGCCCGAATATAAGACGACCCCCCTTTTTCCAGATGTACCTTTTGGAAAAAGTCTTTTTAAAAACCAAATCTTGTTTTTTTCTCAGTAAAACACATTTTGTCTTCAATTATTATCATATTTTTCCTATTTTAATTTTTGTTTTGAAAGTATGGTAAAAACTGGTAAAATGTACCAACAATCACATTTAAAAAAATAAACTTTTTGATATACCATAAAAAAAAAAAAAAAACTGGTAGCCCATCTGAATTAGGACATTTAGGCTATCCATCTAATAGTAGCCTACCAAAATCTTATTAACAGTAGAAGTTCAATCTTACTGTAGTCTTCAAATCTGGGTACTGTCTTACATTTTAAAATCACAAAGGGAGTTTGGTCCCATCAGGGTAACGTGACAGTCACGACTCGTGCAGCTGTAAGGTTTTCTTTTTCTTTTGTTTTTACTCGCGATCTTTACAACACGCATTACATTACGTATTTCATGGCACACTCGTTTTATGCGTATTTGGCGCCACCTATTGTTGTGGGTGTATTATTGACATGTCAAAGTCTAGACCCTGAATATAAGACGACCGCATTTTTTCAGATGTATTTCCAAGAAAAAAACATCGTCTTATATTCGGGACAATACGGTAATTACTAAGCTCAAATGAGTTAATGTGTGTTTCTTATACCAGTTAAGATATAGTCATTTTCTTTATTATTTATTTTAATTTTCAATTTAGTGATTTTAACTTTTAATTTAGCTATTTTAATGCTTTAAAGAACGATTTTAGATTATAATGTTCAAATGCTCTGCTATCTGTTCTGCTAATTATAAAAGGTAAAGCTGTAATACAACCAGAGAGAAAGGCTGCATGGCTAGAAACTTTTAAAAAAAAAAGACAAATAATAGTATTTGAGAGAGTCAGAGCTTGATCTAGGCCTATGTTAAATTTGCTTTATGGAACCAAATCATTTGACAATGAATCAGACTAACTGAAATAAGCCTGGCTTATTTGGTAAACTTGTTTTATGAAACAGGCCTCGAGGCATTAGAAATTATTATATTTTTTCCTTTGTACCGCATTGCATCAAATCGCATTGTGTTGAATCGAATCAAATCTAAATTGAATCGCACTGCATCGTAATAGGGGTGAATCGTATCGCATAGCATCGGTAGCTGTTTCATAAGTATATTTAATGTATCGTATCGTTGGCTAAGCATCAAGATGCGTATCGCATCGGCCTCATTATGGAGATGTGCATCCCTACTTGAAGGGGAACCATGGTACCTAACCTGAGATGCTTTCTTCATATATCACATCTCATCTAATGCGTGCTCTTCACTGCATTACCAAATTGTTCAATGTAGTGGAAATTATTGCCCAATATTGTGAGAGTACAATATTTTTTAGAAAATAATAATTTTTACAAAGTTAAATACTTTACAAATTAAAGATTAAGTATGAATCATATAGCTTAACTTTTTTTCAAACATAATTCAAATTTATTTGATGAGTTTTCATAGTTAAAGGTCTGGTACAAGGGTAAAACTATATTTATTCAGAACATGTATTTGAAAAGTAGCAAAAAATGGCTGTCTGGCAAATTACTTGATAAAAATTAGATTGACTAACATTGAGCCAATGTTTTGCCCAGGCCTAGTGGACTATGCAAACAAACTAACAAACATATTGCTATTCTGTTATGTGTTGCTAGGCCTGTATTAGTTGCCTAAGCAGTTCCATTAGAACATCCTCTCAGTGTTGAAAACTCTGAGTTTTGTCATGAAGTTGAAATAAATGTAGGCCAGACAGACCAGCAGATTCTTCATCACATAAAGTAGTGGTGTTACAAAACCAAAAATGCCAATCAATGCCATCCTCAAGACTAGGAAGGGGAGGTCCTGAAAGACCACACCCAGAGGTGAGAGGAGGGGACTGAGAGGTGTTAGGGCCAATCGCATTGTGGAAAGGAAGCAGAAAAGGTAAACTGGTAATGCCCAGCCTGAAAAATATACAGGAGTGTGACCTGCAACCCGAACCATCTCTACTGTGTCCAGCCAGAACAGGAAACTGTCTGCAAAGACTTCAGCACGAGTGTCGCTAGCCAGTAGGAAGCTAAGTGGTCCAGAATATGAAGAGGTAATGTTTTGGAAGTGTATGCCAGAATGTGGACAAATTCCGGTATTGCCAAGTTGCTGACCGTGGTTGCCTGGGACTCTTGGAACAACACCATTCCCGGGCAAACCTGGAACTGTTGTGTTGCCAAAATGGCCCAGAACTGCCCCATTGTTTGGCAATCCTGGAACTGTTGTGTTGCTTGAGAGACCCAGGACTGTCCCATTTCCAGGTATGCCTGGAACAGTAGTATTGCCAGGCAATCCTCGCACAATCGTGTTTGCTGCTCCTGCACCATGCTCTGTGCCAGCACTGCCAGTAGATGGTGAAGGAAAAGGACCCGTCGTTGGAGTGACAATAGGAGTAATTCTTCCAACATGTGTCAGCACGGAAGTGGCAATGTCTGCATCCCGAGCCAGTTCGTTAGCTGTATACACACACAAATGCAAAAAATAAGGAGCCCAGTTAGAGAAATATAAAGAAACACTTAATATAGGAATATAAAATATAAAGAAACACTTCATATAGAAATATAAAGAAACATCAATAACTCTTTTTACATTATAAAATGGAAAGTACAGATAGTGAGGTTTAGGTAATGCAAGTAGGATTATAAATTTTAGTTATGATCTGATAAAAAAAAATCTTGGCTAACACAATTAGATTTTTTTTTTTTTAATTTTGAGAACATAATTTGGATGATGCATGGAAGTATTTGGGGGAGGGGGAGTCACTACTGTACATTCAGTAGTTCAATACTGTATACTGTTTTTGTTTCTATTGATCTTTCTATTAATTCCCATGAGGCTTTGTGCAAATGATGGGGCTAACTTCCACAAAAATGAAACAACCAACAATTATGAGTGACCCTGCTTAAATGTTTGCTTTATTTTAATATTATTATTTTATTGATTTATTTTTTGCAATGTTTGCACTTGTTTCTGAGAAATTGCATTTTGTTTTGTTTATGTCACTTTGCAATGTGTGTAAATTACAGACTTTAAATGTATTGATACATTTACCAATTATGAAAAATTCAAACACAAGGAATAAGTATAGCAGCTAGCAGCAATACAGGGCCAAACACCAATGGCAACACAAGCAAGGAAATCAATGCAGGCATGTCAAATGACACTGGGAACTTTCAGGAGGAGTACAATGTGTGTCTCTAAAACTTAAAAAGTAAAGCATAAGCATAAAAATGGTTTTGCATGTAAATGTAACAAATGCCTTTTATATTTTAAGCTCAGAATACATCATAAATCTCATCATAATATTTTAATGGAGGAATGGAACAAAAATAAATATTCAGAGTGGTTCGGTCCAGTAATCATCTGAGCCAATTTGCTCAGAATCAGACTGAATTTTAATAGTCTTATTTTTTTTTTTTGTAGGACTCATCAGGGTATTCAGATTTTTATTGACTTGTAGAAATCTAAACTAAATGCTGTGAATGTTATAGTTGAATTCCTGTCACATTTTGTAACATACCCTATATCCCTATAAAGGTAGGTATCAGAAACTGGGCCAGTTATATGAGATGGACAGCTTAGATATTCATGGCCAAAAAGATCATGTCTGTAGAATAAATTATGATAACTTGTGTCTGTTGATTTAACTGTCGTGCAGGCTGACCCCTTTGAAAAGGAAGTAACAATAGGAGTCAAACAGCTCTAACATCTGATTTGCCTCGAATCCACTAAAGACCAGTCACATTTGGTGCCCAAGTGCTGATGGGAAGAAAATGGAGTTTGTATACAAAGAAAGAAAGAAAAATCTATCACTGTAAACTGGAGTACTACCAAGAAGGGAGCTATTCGCCATTAATGAAGGTGCCAATATACATAATGCAATTGTTTATAACAGGGACAGTGTCTGTCGATGTGACTGTAGTGTAGGCTGCCCCCATTGAAAAGGAAGTGATAAAGGGAGTCAAGTCAACCAGCTCTAAAATCTGATTTGCCTTGAATCCACTAAAGACTGGTCACATTCCGTGCCCTATTGTAGCGATGATTGGGAAAAAAAGGAGTTTGTATACAGACAAATAATATATATATATATATACTAAATCTACAAATTCACACTCACATTCACACAGAGCAGCAGCAAATGTGTGAGGTTGTCAAGGCAACCAGATATATTGCACGCGAATTATGGCAGCACTTCTATTTTGCCACACTAAACTTAGCAATAAACACCTTGAAAATGCACAATAAACATATCTGTCAAAACGATCTCAAAGGTGTTTTTTATTAAGCAAATCAAAGAGTGAATTACTCATCCACTGTTTTAAAACAGACATTTGTTGGGCTTGATTCAAGTTCATGCACAGTGGCAGGCTCACACTTTCTATTTAGTCTTAATGAATAGATGATCCGATTCTAAAATCTATTTATAGGTTGTGTTCTGTGTAAATTAAATAACATTTGGATGTAAATGGTCGTCATAAAAGTAGAACAATGAGCCACTAAAACGGCTGCATCCTGTGGATCACCTTTATCTGATTGTCCGTTTTTCACTGTCTCCAGATTGCTCTGCAGTTCGTGTACATTGTTAAAATTGTGGAATATCATTTTATGCCACAACAACAGGCAAGCATAATAAGTCTATTATCCACCAAAATGCAGATTTGTCACGCGACAATTCTTACGCGAATGAGATGTGTGTGTGTGTGTGTGTGTGTGTGTGAGACCCTGGACCACAAAACCAGTCTTAAGTCGTTGGAGTATATTTGTAGCAATAGCCAAAAGACCATTGTATGGGTCAAAATGATCGATTTTTCTTTTATGCAAAAAAAAACTACAAAATATTTTTTTGCACCCTCAGATTCCAGATTTTCAAATAGTTGTATCTTGGTCAAACATTGTCCTATCCTAACAAACCATACATCAATGGAAAGCTTATTTATTCAGCTTTCAGATATGTATAAATCTATATATATTACAATTGTTTATTAGAGGACAGCAAAAATAAATAAATAATAATAATAATAAATAAATAAAGAGTTTGACTTCTCTGCAAGGACATCAGGGCCCGTATTCACAAAACGTTTTATCTTACCACTAAGAGTTCTCCTAAATAGAGGTGAAAGTTTTTAGCTAAGAGTTTTGGTAACACTTTCTATGAAGACCGTATTTATAATACATTATAAGGGTAGAGTTGGGGTACTCGAACTTGGACTCGGACTCGAGTCCGGACTCGAGTCCAATTTTGAATGAACTCGGACTTGTCACGCACTCGGGTGAATTTGTACTCGGACTTGACACGGACTTGAACATTTTGGACTCGGAAAATATTCCGAGTACAGTCGAGTCCGCGTCATGTGTAACAATAAAACCAGCATAAAATTGAGATGAGAAATTAATTAATGTCTCCCCGTCTGTCATTTTACTGCACCACACCGGCAGGCAGCAGTAGCATATCATCTTATGCTTGCAGACGAAACACACACATCACTCACTGGATATCAATGTGTGGCTAGGACGATGTCTTCAAAGTCAGCAATAATTTGTTTTGCTTACGAAAATCATAAAGAATTTATTTGCAAGACATCCGGTAAAAAGAAGCACTCTGCGGATTGCAAATTTTGCAAAACAACTCTTACTGATGTTTCTGGCACGACTTCAAATTTCTACCGACATGTTCAGAGAAAACATAAAGAAAGGTAAGTTGCTTATGCGTTGCATCGCGCCACATAAACATAAAACCATGCCTTCATTTGTGATCGGAGAAATGACAAACAACAAGCCCTACTCTACACTGCCCAAAAAACTTGCTTTAAGTATAAAAAATAAAAAATATAAAAACTCTTTAAATATAAAAAAGTACTTACAGTCAGAACAGCCGGCATTGTAGTCTACTCTACCAGGATCAGGAAACGGTCCTCCATAAAATGTGCTGCACACATCTGAATATTTGGGTTGAAGTGTTCTGGAACAGTGTTGTAAATACAACTTAACCACTGATTTCTAGTCGTGTCCATTTTTGGAAGGCCAAACAAAGTAGTTTCGCTTTCACAACGAAACACAGCGTCACACACGGTGGCCTAGAGTGAGCGACGGCGGCCTAGAGTGAGCAGAGGCTGGGGGCTAGAGTGAGGAACGGCCGGAGGGCTAGAGTGAGCAGAGGCGGTGGGCTTGAGAACGGCGCGGCCGGCAGATTTGACGAAGGAGCGTCCAGAGGGCTTGCGGCAACCACATATGACGAGCCCGGGCTGGACTCCGCTTCATCCATGGTGAAAGCCGATCCGGTGACCCACAGCGCAAAGTTGTTGTATTTCCTCAGCAACCAGCACGGATCAGCTGCAGGCATGACGAAGCAGATTTCGTCCTCTTTTAGAAGGCCAAACAAAGTAGTTTCGCTTTCACAACGAAACACAACGCCTTCACGACATGGTGGCGGCGGCAACAATACTACAGGCGGCGTTATGCAAATCTTCCCACATCGTGACGTAGATATGTGGGGGCATGTTAGAACGAGCCGTTTTAGGTAGGCGTGGCTGACTCTTAACTTTTATAAAGAATATCTCTTTGGATTTGAGACTTTAGTCTTTGCAACTTTACAGATCTTCTTTAAGCACCAAAAGCTTGTAACACTCCAAAGAGAAAGGAAAAATTGAAATCGCATCATATGACCCCTTTAAGCTAAGAGTAAGGGCGGGGTTGACCTTGTTGCCATGGATGATGTCAGCATGCTCACTAACTATGCAGACAGTGATTGGCTGATGGGGGGGTGTCTCTGTCAGAGATTCATTCATAGAAATATTGTAGAGCACGATATTATGTTGCCATATTCAGATAAAGGTTTAAAAAGAAAAAAAAAAGCACATTCAAATAAAGATTTTAAAATGCAGGCTAAGTGTCACTAATTAAACAAGTATATGTTCAGTTAATTGTCAACCTCTTACATGTGTGCTCCTCATAAACAATTAGTGGATATGCATATAAACAGTCTTTTAATTAACAGAGTAGAATAATCATGGCTGATAGTAAGGCATGTGAATGTAAAAAAAATAAATAAAAAAAACTGGACACAAGAAAAGCTGTTACTTCTTGCCCAACTTGTTAATGAAAACAACAGTAATAATATCCTCGCGATTAAGGCGACACCTTTTTAAAAGCTCATTATCGTCAAACATTTCTAAAATGTTTCTGTTCCGGCAACAGCCATTTTAGGATAGTTTGTGACTTGGTCTTAGTGACATAGGAGTTCTCTTCACTACTTCTAAAGTTTCACAGATTTAGGAGCTAGTTTTAGTGCTGAAACTCTTTGTGAAATACTCTTAGAGCAAAAATGTAGGAGTCTTAAATTTAGGACTGACACGCCCATTATTTTAAGATTTTCTTCTAAATCGGCAAGTTATGACCTACTTTTAGCCTTAAAATGTTTTGTGAATTTTGTGAATAATATCTTAGTAGTGATTCTTAG